CGAGGTAAGTGGATAGTAAAGGATTTTATTATTGATAAAAGAATTTGTTGTAAACTATGCTCCATTGGTCTTTTTGTGTTTTCTACCCACCTTTACCTCCGTGACGGTAAGATAGTGTGATGTCTTTACTGGGCTAGTGTAACTCATTCCTTATTTAATCATTTCAGATCAGGAAGACATTGTTCCCGAGCCCGTTCCGCAGGAAGACAGCGAAGGGGACGCCTAAAGACTCCGTAGTCATATTTATAGCTTTTATTTTCGAGTTTCTCTTTTAGTTAGTTTGTTCTTTTATACTTTGAGCACGTTTTTGGTTTTAGTGTAAGGGATGTTTAATTAAAATTTTTATTACGCTTCCGCATTTGATCATTTTAATACACATATTTCATTTTAAATTTCCGGGGCCGTTACATACACCATATAAAGTGGTTATTCAAATTTTAATAAACCTTCAAAGTTTCATGATGAAACCTCTTTACTTTTTACACAAGTCAAATTTAAACCGAATTTTAGACTATTATGGTAGTTTAGACGTAGATTGATGTTAATTTTTGAAAACTTCTAATTCAAACTTAGCCCTGAAGGAATTAGACTTCAAAAAGAAAAACATATTGGTGGATCTAGGTTATAGGTCTATATTTTGGCTCTATTATTCTTACTATGCAACCATTATTGCTAATCAAATTAGGATATTTGTAAACTTACATGCGTGACACATTAGATCACGATTCAAAGAAAAACCTTTCATCTAAGCTGATGACCACGCTTACTTCCACTAGATATCTTCTTAGGTTATATAGGCATAAGGTTCGTGCCAAAACCTTACATAGTCCACTAGCAACACTTGAGGTGGATCTCAACTTTTACAATCATTTATGTCATCTATTAATCAAATTGATCCATCATATTTAATACTCTTTTAAATGCATCGTTTTTGCAAAATTTTTTTCAGTGGTATTAACTCCATCTTTTATGTTAGAATATCTAGTGTTTAATCTTATAGATTCATCATCTTATTTGTTAGAAATGTGGCAACCTTTGAATTTATTTTCATGCCTTTAAAATATGGTTATGCCCACTGTAGACTATTCAGTCACATTAAGAATGGTTCTCTTCTCTTATCCTACTATCACCATCTTCTTTAAAGTTGATATAGAGCCATAATAATAAGGAAACGAGTCCCCTTTTAGAACTAGATTTGTATTATACAATGAAATTGTCCTTTTGTCATCTTCGTCCCTTCTTCCAATCATTATTAAGGCTATCACACAAATTATTTTATCAGTCAATCTATATATTTTCTCTAGTTCACACATGCTTGTGGCACTTAAATAATACATGTGTTATATTTGAATTTCTAGTAAATCATTTATCGTGTTGATCCTCACTCCTCAAGTTGATTTATTGGCTTTAAAGGTGAGCCAATCATCTTCTTCATCTCAATAAAGATGTTGATCACTAACAGTAAAGGATTAATCCATGCCTCTATTGTTAGTCAAGTAAAGGCATTAATATAATTTTAATATTAACTATGTTTTCATTTTATAAATAAAATTAAAATAATCAAAAACAATAATAGAATTTTCGAAAGTAGGATTTTAAAATGCACTTGCATAAAGTTTAAGGGGTGGAGATATGTCATCTGTTTTACATGAAAACTAAATATTTATATCACCACCATGTTACATGAAGAATCCTTTAGCCAAACCTACGTGAACCAAGGAAAATATCTTATCATATTTTTAATATTTTTATTTGTTTGTAAAATTATACAACTAAATATTAAATTACATATATCATTAAATTAATTAATTAGCAATCAAAACTCTCACACAATTAATTTTGAATCAAATCGGGAGTCGATATCTCTTTAGTTGAAACAATGACTTTTATTTTAAATTTCAAAACAATAAAAGAAAATATTAATTACGAGATAAAAGTTACATTTATATTTCAAACAATATTTATAAAATCAATTAAATTACATGATAGATAAAATTTCATTAATTTTTAAGATAAATTACCATGTTAGTTTCTAAAACTATGTGACTTATTACAATTTAGTTCTCAATATATATATATTTTTTCACTATGCTCTAATTCCTAAAATTTTAAACATGCAATTTTCTTCCATTTTTAGAATAAAAAAGTAAAATAATTAGAGTTATGTTTAAATACTTTTAAAAGCTAACTCAAAAATAATTTTAATTATTAACTAAATTAATACTAATACATATTTATTTTTAATTATTATTAATTTATGAATTTAATTAATTTATTAATGTTATTCTTGAATTATTTTTTAAAAATATAAAAATATAACGTAATTATTTTAATTTTTTTATTAAAAATTAATATAAAATAAAATTAGAAATTAAATTATAATAAAAATAAAAATATTAATAATCAAATTATAAAGTAAGCATTTATTTATTTAACAATTTATCATTTTTATAACTTTCTATTAATAAAGTATTTCAAGCATTTATCGTTAAAAAATTAATATGATTTATGCACCGACGTAAGCTTACACGATCGCCAAGCCGACTCGCTATCACTGTTGTACAGTTCTACACCCTTCCGGTAGCCGCCATTAATTTCTTCTCGTACCTCATAATATTCCTTCTCTCTTTATGTACCCGTCTTCATCATTTAATGTCACGTAATATCCAAAACCATTTTCCTTCTTGACAACGAACAGAAGAAAAACACCGATTTCATACATTCTCTTTACTCAACTTCAAGTATGTCGGATTCCTCAGGCGCCGTCGGCTCTGGTAATACGGGGCAGCCCCGAATGCAGATGCTAAGAATTATGGTGTTGATCGAGCCTTCCGTACAACCAGACTTCCCTTCACCTTTGGAAAAGCCTGGATGGTTGCCGGCGTCAAAGGGATCAATAGACGCGATGCCGAGAATTCAGGTCACGGCGGCGGGAAGTGAGTGTGCTATTTGCTTGGAGGCGTTCGAGGTTGGCGGAGAGTTAAGGGAGATGCCCTGCAACCATGGATTCCATTCGGGTTGCATCGAGAACTGGCTGAATATGCATGGGTCCTGCCCGATTTGCCGCTTTATTATGCCTGCGGAGGAAGGAGATGGAAGTGATGCGGGGGAGGGCAAAGGACGGGTTTGATGTTCTGGATGAATTTGCCCGTGGTTCTGGCTGGTAACTCCATGGAAATGGATTCGGATTCGGATTCGGATTCGGGCAGCCGAAATGACCCGGAAGAAGCGGCCTCGGACTCGGACTCGGGTCGGATGCATATAGATTTGGATCGCGTACAATGAGAGCTGTAGCTGGATACAAAAATACGCGCGTGTATATATATTCATACATACAAAATATGAAAATTCTTTTTGTAGTCTGGTATAAAAAACAAAAGAATATAGAGATTCTTGTTGTTTTTTTCATACACACAACCCTTACATGTACAATTAGTATTAAAATTTATATCTAAACAAATCTTTTTTATTTAATCAGCTATTAATTTCTAGTTGAAATTAAGATGAATGGGATTAAAAAAAATTGATTAAATGTAAAAAAAATTAATAAGTTAAAATTAATTATTGGTGCAACAAAAAATGGTCTTTTATCGAAATTATTTTTTAAAATAACATAATAAAAGAAAATATACATAAAAAAGTTTTATATAAAAACTGTTGTACTAATCTCAACCTTTAAAAGGAGTGGAAAATAATCTTAATTTTTATATCTAATTTAGTCATAAAGTTAAGATCTGATTTAATGCTAAAATTTAATCATAATAAAAAAAAATTGAGTAATTAATTGTGTGAATGAATTAATCTTACCTATAAACTATTTCTGAATCACAATAAGAAAATAGATGATTAATTTATATAGATTAATGAATTCGATATAAAATATTTTTTTTTAAAAAAAAAGTGTAAGACATATATTAATTAGGCACCAAGGAAATGCAATTTACAGCTCCTTAAAAGTATTTATAATGAGTCCAAAATTTTTAAAACTATCAAAATTGTGTTCTAAGATAATAGAATTAAAGATGTGTTTTTGATATTAACAAAATTTCTCTCAATACTCTAAAGATTTCTATTATTTTTTTTTTTCAAAGAGTTCAGAATATAGTAAGTGGAGTCACTTAGAAACACTTGTTCTTGAAAGTAAGACCCTCCCATGCGAAAAAGTTCAACTTCAATGGAGTTTGCTATAACCTAATAAATACCCATTAAACTGTAGAGATAAGTCAACAAACTGTAAGTGGTTGAACACCATAACAAAAGGTGTCTGCAGCTTTCCAAGTTAGATTTGCATATGGAACATAGGTTAACTATTTGGAAACCTCTTTTCATGAGACTGTCAATGAGTTCTTTTGCGACCTCTCAAGTGAAGAAAGAGATTCTAGGTGGAGCTTGCGACTTCCTCCGTATGATTTTACATATTTATTTTCATTTGTGAATTAAATTGAATTGTACATAGAATTAAATTCTCACCAACCTAATAACTCCTATACATCCTCTACGGCATAACATTCCACATTATGTATAAAAATAAATAAATAAATTTAATTTAATTAATTAATTAAATTTTATTCTTCATCAATTTAAGTTTGGAAATTTGGGCCATAATTTATAGAAGATTAATCTCTGCTTCTCCATGTGACTTCCTTATTCATTGATCCATTCTTAAACATAAATTTAAAAGACTTGCTTTAATCTCTTGGTTCGTGATCTAGTGAGTGACTCACTAAAATGGTCCATGTGGTTATTGTGCATCTTGAGTTGGTGTTCATACTATGACCTGCATTCACACTATATACTCAGTCTCCTTTTACATGTTCTCCAGTATGCTTTTTGTCTTGATCTCCATCATAATGGGAATCTGTGGACTTAAAATCCGTCCTAAGATTAGTCCAAAAGATGTATAATCTGGCTCAAGTAATTGAATATTGACCATTTACTTTCGATACCCAATTGATGAGGCAGGAATCTAGCCGTGTTGTTTCATTTTCAAGTTACAACGAGGGAAAGTGCTACTTGTGGCAACAAGACTTTGACCTGAGAACATTAGCCTCCAGGCAACCAATAGCCAAACCAAGTAATGCATTTCCTGTAGCATCTGCTAGAAAAAAAACACGAGTCGTACTCAAAAATCAACAAATTTCTTTTTCACACTTAAGGGGAATATAATACCTTAAATCAGATACCGTATGAACTGATCCCAGAGAATGACCGACTCTAATCTCATCCGAACAAGCAAAAGTAAGCACGGATCAGCCAGTTTACGGTTACCCAAGTAGCAAGAAAGCATGAAAAGGGATGGGATCTTGCAAATCATTCTTGACTTTGACTTCTTTCCTGTCACGACTAGAAATTCAAGCAGATGTGCTGCAACAGACAATTGAGAAAAACTAATTCAAAGAGTTCTACTCGAAATTTTTACGTCATTATGTGCCTTGGGTGAGATCTTGTTTCGAAAGTAACTGGATCACTCACACTATAATAGAACTATATGGACATACTCAATCAAAGAGCAA